GGGGGGAGAGAGAGATTTGCTGCCGGAGGCGTTGGCAGAGTGTTCTCGTGCCGCACATCGAATCGTAACCCTGGGCTCCATCTCTGGCTGCTCCTACGGCTCAACACGCCACAACACGTCAGCGTCAGACATTCAAGTCTCCTAAAGATGTCCATCTTCAGCTAGAAGAATAACAATGAAATACCAGTAATATATCCTCACACTGAGAGAGTCCATGCTTTATCTAAAATGACCTTTTTCCCTTATTTTAAACCAACCGCTGTCCTTATTCTATTTATTTCAATTTACAATGTGCTGTGTATTGTTGTAACACATCCCTTATCCTATATGTAGGTTCACTGCTCTAGTTTTAGCTTTTTCATCAGACGTTTTTAGTGCATTGGGCAAATGAAAAGAACAACACATCCATCGTTGTCACTGGTTTGCCCAAACTGTGCCTTTTCGGAGATTTTTGAAATACTGAGACTGAAAAGTGTGATGTGTGCCTGATTGGTGATGGCTACTGAGACATAAAGCCTGACATTAAATTAGATTAGTAGTTACTTATCCACTAGAAGTCAATAAGAAAAGAATTGGGACAAAGGACAATATATGGCAATAGCAGAAATATTGTAATTATTTTTATTTTTGTATATTGGAGTTGACATATTTACTTTTTTTGTACGCAGCCTTAAAGGCTTCATAAATTGTTAAAACTATATCAGGAAGACAACTAATTTTTTTATTTTTTTTTATTTTTTATTTATTTATTCATTTCATTCAATACAAAGAAAATTTTTCATTTCATTCAATACAAAGAAAAATTAATTTAAAAAAATGAAATGAAAGGTAGCAGAAAGAAGAAAATAATCTTATAATATCTGCCCCTTTTTCTCAACTATGGATCAAAACAACAACAAAATTAAAATAAAAAAATTAAATTGATTTGTCTTATGTGACAAAAAAAGAAAACAAAGGAAAAACAAGAAACAAGGTCAATCATCAATCTCAACTGAACGATACTATACTCTAACTTTATACTATTTCATACTTCTTCAAAAAAACAATCTTTAACATTCTTTTAAACATGTGTAATGATTTAACATTTTTAACATCGTTTTGTAGGTCGTTCCACAGTTTGACTCCTTGTATCGAAGTACATCGTTCTTTCAAACAAGTTCTGAATTTAGGTTTCTTAAAAATCTGTGTCCCCTTAAGGTTATAACTACTCTCTCTCTTTTCAACATTTTTTTGGATGTTTAGGGGTAATGTTTTTAGGTGTGCCTTATACATAACCAACAAAATATTATAATCAACTAAATCATTAAATTTCAATAACCTCAAATTACAAAATAATGTATTTGTTGGATATTTGCCATGTTTTCGAGCAATAATTCTTATTGCCCTTTTTTGCAAAACAAAAACAGATTTTGTACTAGTATAACATGCCTTTCCCCATACCTCAACACAATAAACCAAGTGTGGAACAATTAGTGCATTATACAACATAAACATGGCATGATCATTCAGAAAATCCCGTACTTTATAAAGCACTGCTATTGATTTAGCTAATTTTGTTCTTAAATAATTCAAATGGGATTTCCATGATAATCTCTCGTCAATTATCACACCCAAAAATTTAACCTCACTAACTCTACAAATCTCTACACCATCAACTTTAAATGGAGTGTTTACAGTTCTTTGTCCCCTTGTAAATAACATATAATTTGTTTTGTCCAAATTTAAAGATAATTTATTAAGTTTGAACCATTTATATATTTGCATAAATTCTATTTTCATTTCTTTTAACATCCCTTTTATATCATTGCCCTGACAAAAAAAAGTGGTATCATCCGCAAATAGAATACATTTGAAAAAACCTGATACATTTACCAAATCATTTACATATAAGATGAACAACTTTGGTCCAAGTACTGAACCCTGTGGAACTCCACATGTAATTTCACAAAATTCGGACCTAGTATCGTGTACTTGTACAAACTGTTTTCTATTCTCCAGGTAGCTCGAAATCCACTGTAATGCCGGCCCTCTAATCCCGTATTTAATAAGTTTTTTGAGTAATATGCTATGGTCAATCGTATCGAATGCTTTCTTTAGATCGACATAAATGCTGGCACTATATTGTTTTTGATCAATAGCATTTGTTATTTGTTCTATCAGTTCCATAAGGGCCATTGATGTCGAATGTTTGGCTCTAAATCCATATTGACTACTACTTAATATATTATTTTTATCTATAAATGCATCTAATCTATTTACAAATAGTTTCTCCAAAATTTTTGAGAACTGTGGTAACAACGATATCGGTCTGTAATTACTAAACATACATTTCTCACCATTTTTGTAAATGGGAATTACCTTTGCTATTTTCATGGCCTCTGGAAATTTTCCTGATGAGAATGACAAATTACAGATATAGGTGAATGGTTTAATTACATAAGAAATAATTTCTTTTACAAAATTCATATCCATATCTACCCAATCCTTTGATTTTTTATTCACCATTTTGTTTACGATACTCAGTATTTCTTTCTCATCCGTTTCTCCAAGAAAGATGCTGTTTGGACAACTCCCAATTTTTTGGGTAACGTCGCTATCATCTTTTGGTATATGAGCAGCAAGTCTTGGACCAACATTTACGTAATAATGATTGAATTCGTTTGCTATTTCATTCCGATCATAAATTTCTGTATTTTCTTTTAAAAAGTGGGTTGCAATACCAGATTTTATTGTATGCTTTGTAGAAACACTATGTATAACTGTCCATATTGCTTTTGTGTCACCATTACTTTTTGTTAGTAGGTCGGTATAATATTCTTTTTTATGTTTTCTTATAATCCATGTCAATTTATTTTTATATTTCTTATATCTATCCTCTGCTTCTTTCGTTTTTAACATCAAAAAGGATGAATACAAATTATTCTTTTTTTTACAAGCATTTCTCAACCCTTTTGTCATCCATGGCTTGTCAACAGCATCTGTCTTAACAAAATTAGTTGTCATACAATGTCTTTTATACAGAACTCCCAAAATATTCATAAACTCATCATATGCTCTGTGTACATCATCCACATATACATTAGTCCAATTTTGTTGACACAAATCATTTTTCAATTTATCCAAATTTCTTTTTGACATATTGAACACTTTTTTCGTTGGCGCAGGTACAGTAATCATTTTCTGGTGATTTTTGTAAATGGCAAAAACTGGTAAATGATCACTTATATCGATTGTGAAGAGTCCACTCAACACCTCTCCGTCCGTAATATTAGTAAAAATATTATCAATTATTGTGGCAGAGTGTGTCGTAATTCTTGTTGGTTTTGATATCAATGGAAAGAAACCCAAACTACACATTGTATCAACAAACATACTATTTAACTCAGTTTGGGTTCCTAAATCTATATTAAAATCTCCACACAGAAATAATGTTTTATTTTTACTCATTTCAATAAGCTCTATTAATTTTTCAGTAAATAATTCTAAGTTAGATCCTGGTGCTCGGTACACACAGGTCACCACTATATTTCTCGATTTCTCGCTTAACACTTCTATAGTAATCATCTCCATTACACCTTCAACAGTTGTTGACATAGTATCCTTTATTTTACACCTTATTTCACAATCAGCAAACAAAGCAACACCTCCACCTCTTTTACTACTTCTATTCACATAATATAATTCATATCCATTTATTTGAAAATTGTTTATATAAAGTGAGTGTACTAATGAGTACAAGGCACTAAGGCCAGAGGAAACTGAACATTGTAACTGGCTGAGGTCTATTATTTTATTTACAGCAGCTGCAACTGGACTCAAATACTGAAGACAATTATTGTGAATATCATTTGGTGAAGAAAAAGATATAAAAAAAACATTAATAACGACAATAGAAATTCTTATGTCTTGAATCAATCAGTTCATTATATTCAAAGTTGTGTTATCTTTAAAAAAAAGTAATTTAGCTGTAAAATTAAGTTTTGCAAGAAGAATAACAATGTAGTTCAAGAATACCATAATAAAAATGCATGTATCATTATGAAAATGGCAAAGCAAAAATATTGTCTTTCTAATTTGAGAAACTGAGCAATAATTATTTTCTTTTTCTTTCCATTTTCTTTTTGTTTTGTATGTGCTTTTTGTTTTCTTTTTTGCATGTTAGCAGACAGTGTTATAGCACATCGTTGTGTATGTAGTAGGTAATGGAAGCTTCTGGAGGAAAGATTTTACTCACATTTTGTGAGTAATTTTGGAAAATAAGTACAAACGTTTTAAATGACATAAAATATAAAATAAACGCTTTGTAAAATTTGAAAGTAGTTTTCAGGAATGAACACCAAGCAGTTGGATTTTAGTGCATACAATAAACTGGGTGTGTTGATGTTCATGCAACACTGCCTCCATTTGAACGTGGGTTGAATGGGAGTGTCAGATCGCTGGGGGCCAGATGGTTGAAAGCTGTTTCAAAGTCCGGTCTTCATACATAATGGCCCCTTCAAAGGGCTGGGTCAATCACATCGTGTGACTACTATATATGGTATCCCTCTTTGGTGTTACTCCATGCCCTTTAAAGCATTTGATTTTATTTTTCGAGTGGTGCCACGCTGCTGGTGGGATAGGCTTATTTTGTTCAAACACAGAAAAAGAATAAAAAAAACTTTTAAAGTATGCATATCGGCAACTAATCTGTCAGCATAATAACCATAAGAACCCCCAAAATAGATTCAGTTGCATTTGATACGACTTTTATGTATGGTGGGTGTTACATTAGAATAATGGCAAAAAAAGGAATCAACAATTAGGGAAAAATGTTCTGTCTGTCCTTTTGTGGCAAGAACAAACAGAAGCTGAGGGAATATTTTTGTCTGTTCGGAATATCCCCTCCGGAGTCATGAGCAAGGGAACTGTATCAACAGTGATGGCTGAAGGCTGACTGGTTTGCTCGTTGTTGTGTGGATGATTTTGAGTTAGCTGACATGCCCTCTTAATCGAGTCACGATTTGCCGGATATTAATCTGGCAGTGACTAATGTCTTGTTTTTTGCAGGGTGGACCAAATTTGCACGTCTCACGCGTGCACTCACCAACAACCGCAACACGTTGCAGCAAATGGCACCCATTGGCAAACATGAAGTCAGTCATAAACAGTCAAGACTAGCCGAGGTGAGCTTGCACACACACACACACACACACGACACACACACACAAACAAGAACCTGTTTGTCTACATTTGTAGTCATTTTTTCATTGGCAAAATGCCTTACCCCTTACATTTATCCTAAGATTTGCAGCTGAGTCTATGACCATCTCAAACCTAACTATATAACTATATATAGTTTGGGTTAGCTTTAGATAAATAGTTAGAATCGGTATTGTGCTGATGTCTAATACCTTTTGATTTTTTGTATTTTTTATTGCTGTTGCCTAATACTAACAATAATTATAAATCACAAATCAACCCTTAAAATTCCCTGTTTTGACAGATGGGACCCACCTTTCGGTCCTTACAACACATGTTAAACTCCTCATTTATAGAGGATTCATCATTTGGGCCTATAAGATTAGCTTGATTTCACAATGAACGATGCAGAAAATGTGTCAAATACGTAACCAGGCCTTTTTCAGGTTGATGTAGTGGACAAATGTGCCTCCAACAACTATAGAGGAAGACAAAAGTGTTAATTTTGAAGTATTTTAAAAGTATTTCTCATTTATAAAATCCAATTTGAATATGTTGCCTTTTTTGTCCTTTTTGTTAATACCAGAATATGAAGAAATTATGCGGTTTTGACTGATAAAGACTTTATAGTGTTCACCTGATAGACTCCATATCTTTGTATCTTTGTGCTACACTTTAATGAGTCTGCTATGGTAACTTTCTAGAATTGTTTTCCTTAAAATAGTCACTGCTATTTTAATCCTGCTATTCTTTTTTACATGGTAAAGTTTAGATATAATCAATATGCATTTTAAAATTCAAATTGTACTAACCCTGTGTTGCTGAATGTATTGGTTTTTGTTGAGTTGGGAGGGCCAAACATGCACACATGCATACATTTATCAGCCAGCATTTCAGCACAGTGCTCTTTGCATCATTTCTGCACAACTACACTCTCGTATGAAACATTAACAGCCACGGTCGAAGCTTTTCTTAATGCTGGACTCAAAACGCTCGCGTAGATGGGCACACGCGCCCTGACAGATGGACGTTGGCATGCATGCGCATCTTCAGTGCCTCGATACCTGCACTCCACCCTTTCGCATATTCACTCGAAAACTTCCCTGTGGCTGTTGAGCTAAACGAGTGGTGCTCTCGCTGCTGCTCATGTTGACTGCGGATGTCATCAATATTTCATGCTGGGTGGTGAAACAAAGGCATAGTAGTGTTGGTAACTGCTGCTGGAATTTGGCGAGTGGTATGGAGATTACTCGCGCATCTGTTTTAATCGTAAAGGTTTTAAGCTTTACCTTTAATCAGAATATGTTTGAACCTCGCCATTAAGTGAAAAGTAGTGTAACCAAGCAGAACTGTTACTTTCCAGTTGGATTAAAAGTAAAATGGGGAATGGAAGAGATAGTGAAGGATGGAAAGACATAAAAATAGAGAGGGGAAGAGAGAAAAAGCAAAAAAAGAAGACAAAATTAAGGTTTGTAAGAGATAGCAATTATGAAGCAAACATATAAGATCGATGTATTTGGGAGAATGCCCCAAAACAGAAAAAATCTGGTGTTACAAACTGAAACGCCATCCCTCCCATTTCGTCAGTGCTGAGTCACAATGTTGCATAATGACCCAAGTGTGCTCATTTGATATTGCAGGTGATCCATCTGCCTCGCAGCCTGAAAGGCACAGCTGGCGTCTTTTGTTGAGGGTGCTGATAACTGTCAGCTGTTTTTTATTTTTTTATTTTTATCACTCCTAACAGTGCGACTGGACAAGTTGGGAACTTCATCTTAATGCAGCAATGATGATGTTAATTAGATATGGTTTAAATGGCAGTTCTGACAGGAAGGATTACACGAGATGCCATTCCATAAGTATAAAGGTTCTTTGCATCTGTAACATCATGCTATATGACATCTTGCTATATGACATCAGACTGCATCAAACACTTTGATTCATCCTGTGACTGACACTACTGAATGTTTTAATCATCAAGACAGCAGGAAATCTTCACAAGGATTATGGACTTACTTTTGGATATATTAACCCTTTAAAGCCTGATCCAAGAACAAAACAAAACAGAAAATGACTTTTTTTGGGTTTGAAGTCTTTATTTGGCCTTTTAACAAAATATGTAAGAAGAATACATTTTTAATAGAGAAATACATTTTTAATATTTATAATTTACTTCTATGCGATAAGTCAAGATTATTTTGTGTAGTCTTCTGCCCCCTATTATCAGGTGTATTTGATTGTGTACAACAGGATTTTGAGCAAAGTTTTTACCATTAAATTATGCAAAAGGTGTCAGACGAAAAACATTTCAGAAACCGTATGTATCAAATATGATACATTTGGCATTACAGGGTTAATTGTAATGCCAGTATCAGGTTATTTAGAATGGATCACAATTGTTAAATAAAAAGAAAATAAATTCTTTGCTTCTTTTAGGCCTGTGGAGTACAATGATAACATAGAAATTCCTCGGATGAGCTTTTTTTCACACTGCCTTGTATACCTTATGCTATCTTACATGCTTGTGTTGGTGTTGTTGTAGGTTGTTTCAGCCACAAAAATGAAAGAGGTCATACAATACAAGTGTTTCATTGGACATTCTGCAGCGACTCTGCTTTTCAACTTTTGCTTGTTATTCACTACCCAAACATCCATTATAGAAAGAACATAAGAACTTCTGACTTTCACAGAGCTGACAGTGTTGTATGCATCACTTGTCACCTTGACAAACCAATCAGGTAGACAGATATGAAATGGCCATGACTTATTCAATCCAATCCAACTTATGTTATATTCTTGCTGATGGACAAATGGACAAACATCACTCCACCTCATTTATAAGTGGACAGGAAAGAGAAATACCTATACACATAACTTCCGTTCTTCTTTCCCGGTGAAAGAATATAAATACAGAATATATACAATTTATGATACATTCTTTAAAGAGGAAAGCACTTGGCAAGTGGAAACCTAATGAAGAAATATCATTGAGTCACACCTTCTTTCTCCTTCCCGCCTCTAGGTTTTGCAGCTCAACTCTGACATCCTCCCGCAGTACAAGCAGGAAGCCCCCAAGACCCCTCCTCACATCATCCTGCATTATTGCACCTTCAAGACCACCTGGGACTGGGTCATCCTCATCCTCACCTTTTATACGGCCATCATGGTTCCCTATAACGTTTCTTTCAAGACCAAGCAGAACAACATTGTTTGGCTGGTGCTGGATAGCGTTGTGGATGTAATTTTCCTGGTGGACATCGTTCTCAACTTCCACACCACCTTCGTGGGTCCCGGTGGAGAGGTGATTTCTGACCCAAAACTAATCCGTATGAACTACCTGAAGACCTGGTTTGTCATAGACCTGCTGTCCTGTCTGCCTTATGACATCATCAATGCCTTTGAGAATGTGGACGAGGTATGGCTTAACTTTTAGATGGCTATTTTATAGAAGCATGGGTCATTGTCTTCACTAAAGTGTATACAGTATATGATGTTCTTAGAGGTAAATGTTACGATTTAATGTTACTTTTCGTCACACAAAGTAGCTCCTTCATATATTTGTCACAGGTTGATGGCTGATATGGTGTGATTTGATTGATTTGATTTGAAAAATAGGTCACCTTTGCGTTCAGAAATAAGCAGATTTTTCCATGAATCTGTCTCTGGACATGCTGCATTGTAGCTCCTGATCCTGTGTTTGATTACTAGTCAATGCTGTTATGTGGAGATCAAGCTTGTTCTTGAGTATTTTTCTCAGCGAATTACCCACAACAGAAAAACGTGGAGTTATATCAACATGGCCTCAAGTCCATTTAAGGTGATTTTCCACTTGATTTCCCATAGAAATGATTAAACTCAGCTTGAGTGGAGGCAGCAATCTATTGAAGTTATAATGAAAAAGAACATGTGATATTTATTACAAATATCCCCACGTGATTATGTTCTTCATTTTTAAACTTTTGATTTTTATTTTGTATTTATTTCCCAAGTGGATGTGCATGTTGCAAGAAACACACTTTTGTGTGTCTACAGGCTTTGTTATGTGTTTGCACTCAGTCATCCGTTGCTCAGTTTGTATAGAAGTGTGTCAACGATATGGGTGTTTGGTCACATGTCCGCTTGAATGCCAGTAATGACAACAACTCCAACATTTAAGCTGCCAGCAACTTAAATTTTACATTTATTATTTTCCATGTAAAAAACAAAACACAAATCCTTCTATATTTTCTTCTTGTTAATATTTTGAACAAAACAAACTACGCAACAAAAGAGAAGCCAACTCTATGTGCGTGGGGTATGGGTTTTGGCATTGAATCACTATTAAAAATTGAGCTATTTTTCATGTTTCAGAATATGTTGCAGACTAAGCAATACAAACATCTTTCCAAAAAATCCTTCAACACAACAGAATACACTCTGTCTCTTATAAGCCCCTTAAATTTACACATAACAGACACCATGGGATGAGTCTTTAAATTTCAGAAAACCGAACTCATCAATTTAACTTCCCAGCAGGTTTTTCTGTTTGCATTTGATTTCCTGTTGTTCTCAATGTGGCTAAATGTTGTGCATCATTCAGTTGGTGTCTGGAGTGTCACTGCGTGTTAGTTCAGGTGCCTCTTTTCCTCCATTGTCTCACTGCCAGTTGTTGAATGACTAGATGACATTCTGCTGGGCAGAGTTTTTTTTTTCAATGGCTTTCCTTTATTTAGTGGTGAAGGAGGCTGAGAGAAAATCAGTAGTGCATACATTTCCAGCCATTAAGCAGTTTGTCCTCTCTACTTTTCTAAATGAACACATTTTGAGTATTAACAGACTTGAAGAATGAATGGGCGCCCACAGAGGATTGTGGGTAGCTAAGGTGCTCTTTGAAAGATGATAGCTTTTAGACTCGGTCTGAATTCTACAGATGGGGCTGGTGGCTATTTTTAGTTGTGTTTTAATGCAGGTTTCAAGATGCTGGAAGACCATGCCAAGTCATGCAAGTGCTGCCACTTCCATGGCTTTTGAATTCTGTAGATGATCAATCATAACTGGATTAAAAGAACCTCCTTTTGTAAAAAAAAAAATCAACAAATACAGCAAATGCCAATATTATGAGTTGATTATTGCATTCATTTGATAGTGTCTTTACAGGGTTGGGATGATATTTTAGTTTATAGTTTCAGAGAAAAAACAACTAATGCTACAGAATCATGCTTTCGGGGTACAGATGGATATCCTAATTAAAGATATTCAATTGAGTAAATGGAAAATGGTTTCTAGTACATTTTTACACTTGTTTCTAACAGTATTCAAGGATAAATAACCAGGCTTTAATTTCAGAGTACTGACATCCATTGTGGAACTACTTTTGCATTACATGCAAAAGCAATGTAGGATTCTCCTTTTCTTGGACTGAAATAAGATTAGACACAAAAACATTTTATTATATGTTGAATTTTAAATTCCTTTAATGTTTTATTTAAAATTTATTTAATTTATTTAAATTTCATTCGGCTGTCATTTGTTCTTGGTCTTTCTGCCTTATGAAGTGTCCTCACCAAATTAAATGTTATTCATTTGGGTTGAAATCAAGGGCTCAACTCGGCAATGGCCATACCTTCAAAACCTTTAACAGTACTGTTTGGGATATTGTATGTCTGTACTCCACCACCTCGCAAATTTCAGCTATCAGAAATAGTTATTTTGTTACTGTAGCCTAAAATAAATTTTGGTACACCTCTAGGTTTATCATTTACCGCAAATTGTGGGTACACTAAAGGATTTTCTTGATGCATATTCCATACTTGAAATCAGTGATGAAGAAACAATGACGACCGGTCCAACTTTTACGTCTGCTAGTATTAGATCGCCTGAGAAGGAGAGGTCTGTACGTTAAAGAGCTGTCATCTAAACTGACTATGATGAGAATGCCCTGAAATTAAAGCTGACAGTCTGCACTTCGTGCCAATTTCTTATTATGTAACTGCAAGCTCCATGTTTCGGCATGCAGGTAAAACAAATGAAAGCAAAATCCAGTCAAACTGTTAATATAAGCACAATATCTGAAACATTTGATGAAAATGGAAAAATACTTTTGTGTACAAAGGAAATCAATAAATGCCAAATTACAAAAAACAAAGCAGAAGTAAATAACTGTTTAATCTTTTGCAGCTGACTTCCAATTATTTGGCCTTAAAATGCACGATGCATGTTGTGACGGTGTTCTATGACTGACCAGATCCTCCAAAACTCAAGGTATTGATACAAAAATAGCTGAACCCCATTGGTTGTTATACTTTAGAATAAATCAATTCTGTACTTTACAATGTAACGCACCTCTTAGCTGTGAAAATCTGAAAAATAAAGAAAACGTTGTGCAAAAACAGCTTTTTCTTGAAAGTGTTAGAACATACCACGTTTCGGTTTCTTACTGATGTCTGAAAAACAGGTAGGCAGAGTACACAGCTCTGCGTTTCACAAGAATAACACCTACACAAAGACACGTACAGGGAACCAGCGGCTAGATTTTCAAGCTATGGCTTTGTAGCTGAGTTTAGTGTGCGCTGCGGTGGGATATGGGATGTGTCCTGTGGGTGTGAAACCACCTGATGTCACAGCAGAGTTCGGCATCCTGTAGGGGGACTCACAACGGGAATCTGCAGTCGCCATAGCTGTTAGAAAAGCTGTAATCTAGCTTGACCTTTTGAGAGTGTTTTGGCCTGCCAAGTTCACTATTCTGAGAGGAGGTGTGCCATGCGTTTGGTGGTTAGCAGGGATAGAGAGAAGTGGATGGGAATAAATAGAAAATTTCTGTTGAATTTGTCAGTGACTGTAAAGGTTGAAGAGATGTAAATGAAAAAATAGACTAATGTATATGGAGTGGAAGATTTTATACATGAGAACAAGAAAATTATTTAAATCTAATCCAGGGAATGCTTAAAATATCATCAGTGATAGAAAAACAGCTGCAAGAACAAGTGCAGTTAAAAGAATCGGACGAAAGATGTAGGAATGTAAGTGTTTTCAGAAGACTTTAAATTTCAGAATTTATTGAATTTGTTTTACAAATAATTGGATTCTAACAGGCTTGTATTGGTTTATATTTCGAAAACCCAAGGGACATGACATTTATTGCGATTTGGTGCTTGAAAATGATATCTTTACAGCAAAAAAAGAAGATAATAAATCACTGGTGTATTTATGCTCCATTGCAAAGCTGACTAATTCAATCTATTTTTTTGTTTAGTGAATTTAATCAATATCAATATATCAATAAGTAACACCATGTAGTGGTTTTTGGTAACTCAAACAGACCTGTTTGGTTATTTTTTAATGGCATGAAATGCATATTTTATATGGATTTTTTACCTATTGATTTCCATTACTTGTTGTTTTTGCTTAAAATCTGCTTTTTTAAAATCGAAACAACTTAAGTAATTGTATTGTAACTCCAGCAGTGGTACATGTGCTCTTTTTCAAAATAGTTTTTGAAGAAATTATTCTGATTGCTGCTTTGTCTTGTGCACACAAATTCGTTTGACGTCGTCCCAAAATAACATTGGCCCTAAACATTTTGAAAGGAAGGCTGTAGTTTATTCTTTACATTACTATTATTCTTAAATGGAGTTGATATCCATCTCAAACAGAGCCTCTAAGAAGGACCTGTGAGTGTTCAAGTAATTATTCATTTTATGCTGCCGAGGCCTATAATCCAGGCCAAATCTGTCTTTCTCTCTGTACGTCTTTCTCACACACTCACTCCCACACACAAAAACATGAGTAGAGGATATACACATAAGAAAAAAACTTGCTGTCACCTGATAATTTTAGCACAATACACAGCAAAAGTCAACAGTAACAACTGACTGCATGGCAAAGATGATAACATTGGAGATAACTTCTAAGGCTTTGTTTACGTATCTCAACAAATAGTAATATGTCTGAACAATTAGTGAGTAGATGTCAAGTATATCAGGATAATTTTGTTTTTAATTTTATGTGATACACTCAAAATGGGGTTGTCTAACAGACATTAGAGTGATGAACAAATCTATATCTATTTGTTATCACTATCCCTATGGTATGAGTACTTGATAGTATTTGACCTACTTTCAAGTTAAGTAACATTGTTAAACAGCCAGGACAGGATGTGCAGCAAACAGCACTAGATGCATGACAAATTATACTGCATACCTCTGTTAATGGAGTAGTAACGATTTGAAATTATCGCAGAAATAACAATATTTGATAACTTTTAACAATACTTAATACTATTTCATACTTAATTACTTTGAGTTGCCTGAGATACCTTCAATACAGCAGAATTACCATATGTCCACTTGCCCAGCTATAAAATAAGAATTGCATGTTAAATTTTTTTACTTCATATGAATGGTCTTAGCATACGATCACTGTCACAACTTCAGGATTTTAAGCTGCCAGAACCACGCTTAGTCATCAGTTCTACATAGACAGTTCCGTTCACCCAGAGTTTAAATTCCTGTTTAGTTTTGATGAAACTAACAAAATAATTAATAATCTGATCTTTTCTGCTGTCATTTGAATATGGTCTCGGTGAGAACTTGCATTTCCTAACGTGACAAGTGAGACTGTCTTCTGTGAAAGGATAGATGAGTATCATGATTCAGTGAAAAGGGAAACGAAAAACAGACTCTACCTGGGGATGTGAAATGAATTTTGAAACATTTTACTAAATGTGTTGATTGTTAATTTGATTTGGCTCGGTTGCTAAAGGCTTCTTTGGTACAGTGCTTGTTCCAATTAAATAAACTGAATTTCTGACAGCAATTAAAACAAAGATGACATTAATCCTTACCATGGATGTTTAAAGCATCAAAGTATTAGCAAATGTGTCATTTTTTGTTTAAATAATGCTTGTACAATTTTTTGAGTTCTGATATTTAAAAAAAATATAATTGATTTATGAATTACCCTACAGGTTTGAAAGTCAAACTAGTGAACATTACATTACATTGCTCTGAAACTGATCAATTTGAGTAAGAACTTTCCCACTGGGCATATCTCTTTTTATTCACCATGTCCCATCTCTGGGCTTTTCAAAAAAAGTAATTATGAGCTGTGATTTTACATAGGTTTTTCCTGTTAACATCTGCTCTTTTCATCCGTGTTAATCCTTCTTGTGGATCCCTAATGTTGAGATATTTAAATGTTAGTTGAGGAGAGGCAGATTTCCAGGAGAAGCCTCTGAAGCTGGTGGTCTGGAGATCTTGGAGGGTTACAGAATTCTGCCTATTATAAATGTGAAGAGAATGGGAAAATTAACCAGGTTTAGGTGACTGTGAAGAATAGATTTCCATTTTTCATTGACAAAAGGCGTTGGACTGGCCTACGTCTTAAATAAAGAGGAAATTTGATTTTGGTAGTGCTACCCAGGCCAGATGTGAAAGCAGAAACAAATGAGTAGCAGATCATCTGCACAACATTTTATTGCATTTTCTTTAAGCAAATATCAAAACTAAATTCTCCTATTTCATGTATTTCTGGTACTGAAAAGATCCTTTCTAGTGTCCAAACAGCATAATCAGATCATATAAAATTGGGTGGATTATCTATGTTAGTACACGATAGGACTCTGGTGCATGTTTACACGAAAAACTTACACTTAAGAGATGCTATGCCTGCAGGAAGTGCATGGAGGCAAATGTACATGATCGAAATGGCACAGGATTGGTAAAAGCACACAAAGATTGGCAAAAAAGGCTCTCAACCCAATCATTATAATGTTGCCTTACAGAGGCAACATTGGGGTTGGAGCCTCGAAAAAATGTCTGAATGTCAATGTTTCATTTTTGGATACTTTTTGAAAATTATTTCACGAGAAAAACAGTGAGAAAAACTTGGATATAGGCTCAAAAGCAAAACAAACGCAATGAAGCTAACTTGCAGTACGATACGTGAAAAAAATGTCGAGAAAAAATAACAGTATGGACATCGAGGTTGAGATGAGAGTGATAAGGTCACAGGAAATTGCAGAAAGCATCGTGTTTTACCAATTAGGCAGTTTTCTGCTTATTTGTGAAACACCACTTGATAATCCTGCTTGTTGTGTCTTGCATGCGTTTAAAAAAAAATGACTTTACCACAAAATAATTAATTATATTTATCTTTAATTACTTCACATTGCTGTTAAAGAAAGTTTTTCCTTCCCTGTGTCGCCTACTGCTTGCTCATGGTGGGAATTGTTGGGTTTCTGTAAATAACTTCAGAGTAGGGTCTGACCAACTCTGTTTGGAAAGCGCTGTGAGACAACTGTTGTGATGTGGCGCTATATAAATCAAATTGAATGAATTGATGTGTCCTTAATGTAAATAGTTTGCTTGAGGTTAGATGGCTATGACCCCTGCTGTTCTGACGGAAGCATCAGAACTGTGTGCACCTCAGGGTCCTGCCTGTTGTTTAAAAGGATAATATTATTCTGAACTTTGATCATTGCTGACTTATTTTAGCGACATTTATAGTGTGGAGCCTACAGTAAAATGTGCGTCTGAGGAAAGCCTAAATTAGAACAATTATTCTATTGTATTTGACATCTCAGCAAATAAGATCCTTTTGGGTTTTTGTGGACATCGTAGGTGGTATGATTGCACTTTTGTTTTAACCAATGGTTAGAAAAGAATAAAATCATTGTGACTTTTTTGGCGAATACATTATTTACAAACAATGTTAGAAAGCTTTTCCTTAATCTCATGGGCACAGAGTTGTACAAAAAAGGTATCATTGTCAACTCAGATTTATATAACAGTTTTCATATATGACTTAAATATGCACCAATATGAGTTGAAACGAGTGGAATACCTGAGATAGGGCCCAGTCATCAGAAAGCTATACGTCCGGCGTGTATAAAAGTTAAAGTTCTGTGGCAACTTGAGTGATATAATTGATTTAAGTAACATCCATTGAGCTGCATTTGGCTCTTTCTTCAGCATGCTTTTCTAAATTAATTTTGACGAGCATCAACACAAAAGCAACCTATGCCAGAAAGAAAATGTTTATATTTGTTTCAGTTTGAAAGCAGAATGTGCTGCTCTCATTAAATAACCTGTCATGTTTACATGACTGAAAAAAGGGAAAAAAGACGAATAATCATTTTAGTTAGACCAAAAGTGGACATTGAATAAACATATTATCGTTAAAGTCTGATAAAAATTGAAATTAAGAAAAACAAAGCTTAAGACAACTTAAGGCCATAGAAAGCATTTCCCAAATTTTTTTATAGTCTATCAAAATCCTGATATCGTCTGGTGATTTTTGTGTGATGATTTATGATTATGAAACTTAGAAGCAGTCAAATAACTGCATGTACTGTTATTCACAATATTTTATGTTTTAAAAGAATTTAATTGCTTTGTGTCTACCTGAACCTACATTTTCCCCTTTCTTTATGCTTTTGAGCAGCAACTGTGTTTGAGGAAGAGATAGTTATTCTTTTTTAAATAATGACAAATATTCATACTAATAACATTATAAACTTACAATATTCAGAGAAGAAAGAGATTTCCTTATGACTAAATGTTAAAATTTGAATGGGACAGAGATGTGTTGTAATTGGTATTTGATACATGAGTTTTTGTTTTTGCTTATCAAACACATGCATTGAATGGGAATAAAGACAATAATGTAATTAACTAAATTTTAAAAGTAGATGAAAAGGTTTGACAATGTCTGACCAGTGTGTCTATACTGAAAGTGGTTGGGTTTCTCATTCTTTATTCAGATGTGCAAAGTAATATTATGGGTTAATATCATCACACCTTGTTGCTGCCTATACATTAACTTTTGCCTTCAAGGTGCATCCACTGTGTACAGTAACATTGCTAAAAGAGAAGTGGAGTTATTCTTTTACTTTATTCCATTCACATTCACTTATGTGAAAACTATTGACCTATTTTTGTCAAAGCTCTGGGCTGTTCTGCTTAGCTTTCCCTATAGCACTATTCCTGTCGTGTTAATAATGTTTAATATCAGTCTTCTTATTACCTGTACTGAGGCGTCGGACATTATTTTATTGTATTAATTACAACAGGCATGGGAGGATAATGACAGCCCTCTAGATTGTAGTTTGGTTAGCTTGCTCTTGGCCTTGCTGCTAGATTTTTATACTCTAAAACAATGTTTTGGACCCACTGTTGTTGTAATATGGTTTATTAATTGGTTCTCCTCGGTTTCATAGCTGAACACAATGTATTTTCAGACATTTCAGAAAAGTTTTTTAATTGCTGTCGCTTGCAGAAGCGATAAAAATATTTACAGAGGTACGCACTGGCTTTTTATTATCTAATTGCATCATTCATTTGTCATCTAACCCTTACAACCAAGTGACATAAGCTCCTAAATTACTGAAAATGTACTGCTCCAAGGAAAATAACTAAACTCTCTGTCCATAATTACTCCAGTAGCTGGTAATTAAGGTAACTCCTTTGACATCAATGCAGGTTGAGGTAATCGTTGCCAAACAGCATTTTTCCTCTCAATGTTGTAGAAACAAAATTTTACCTGTGATAACCAGTTTCTTTCGACTCCTCCTTGGCCTGTCTCTCCTTGTTACTTGTGCTCACTCATAATTTTCCCACAAAACACCTCCCGACATCTCCTCTTTCTTCTATCGCTCAGTTTTCACCTCCTTGTCTGCTTCCTTCACAGGGCATTAGCAGTCTGTTCAGCTCCCTGAAGGTGGTCCGCCTGCTGCGTCTTGGCCGGGTGGCCAGGAAACTGGACCACTATCTGGAATACGGTGCAGCTGTTCTGGTCCTGCTGGTCTGCGTGTTTGGACTGGTGGCCCACTGGCTTGCCTGCATCTGGTATATTTGTTTTTCTCCATTCTTTTTTTAATTGGTTTTCCCAGTCAATGAGGCAAAGCAGCTCATCTCATCCTGGCTAATGTTTTCCAAAGTAGTCATAACTTCTCTACTTTTGACTGTGATATTCCCATTAATCTCAGCGCTATTACAAGCCTTAGGATTTATTTTCTTTAATGACCCAAAATAGTTTCTATTTCTCTTTGCATTTAATTCTTTCCTATTATATTTACTTATTCAAACAATTATTGAATATATACTGTGAATCCATCCTGAGGTTGGAGCCTCTCCCAACTCACAGTGGTGGGGTATATCTGGGACAGGTTGCCAGTCCATCACAGGGTGGATGTATACTGATTTTATACAAATTTGTTACAGGTATAAATGACCAAATACATCTTTTTTTAAATCAAGCACTGTAAGTGAATGCCTTTGAATGTGTAGCATCTTTC